AGTTAAGTTACAACTTAAGTGATATGTGTACTCAAGGGATGTCAAACAGTTCCATTTCAACATGGAAAGCTTAATCTTGATGTTGTAGATTTGCTGGTCTCTGCATGTTTACTATGTATTTTTTTTTTTGGAGCCTCGTTACCATATTTGTGAGTCATGTGTGCTGTGGAGTTCCCTTTGTCTTTCTAACTGTGGATGTGTGTTTTTTGTATCTTGTAAAAAGGATGACTGGTGGAGCTTATTGAGTTAAAAACCCTATGGCTCTAAATTTATTTTTTTATCTCAAACTATGTGCAGTGATCAAGATGGAATTTCAACTTTACCCCAGGCAATCCATGCAGATCATTTACAACCAGCTTCTCATTTACCTGGCAATAATTCACCCATTGATACAGAAGTTTCTTCATCTGCTACAGTTTCAAAAGCTGATCAGCCAAAGCAAGAGACTTTGCCAGCTGTAGGCCCCCCGTTTCCTGTTGTTCAAACTGCTCCAAGCTACGCCTTTGGTTTCATGCCTCCAATGGTGGCAAATGTGCTTGCCCAACCTGAAGGATTTGAGTCCCAAACTCATATTTCAAACTCTCTGGTATGTTTTATTGGGGCCTTTGTCAAGTATTTTCTCTCAAAAGGTTGCTAATTGATCCGTTTATTGCCTATGTCCCTTGTAGGCATTCTAGCACCCATCCTCATTGAAAATGCTAGATTCATTATAGCGTTTTCTATTAGGTTCTTTTGGCTAAGGGAAAACTCAAGTCCAATCATATTGGAGGCATTTTAGCACAGTAGCACCCATTCTCGTTGCATGTTCATTAGAAGCATTAGAAGTGATTGAAATGCAAACAGAACCTTGGTTGACGAATTTGTTCTTTTTATTTGAATTCACACAAAGTCAGGGTTTTCCAACTTTTGGAAATTAGATTGGACTGCAATAGAAATTTCAGGGGCTGTTTGGTGGTCATTGTGATCTAAGGAGATATGAATTTTAGGTATGGTGACGACTTTATTTGGACCATAATTTCTTTCAAATACCTTGATTGTGATTTAGACCTTTCCATAAGCATGCAACATTCTTTGAGCAAGAATTATACAATAAAATCATGTAAAACTGTTTATGCAGTCTTGTACTCCATGATTATGTGATTAGCTTAGGACTCCTTTTTACATCTTGCCTGTTTTTGCTCTGTTGAGCTCACCTGAATACTCACCTAACTGTTTTTTAATGATTGAAACTGATTTTTACTGATTAAAACTGGTTGTACTGATTCAAAGTGTCTTGTTACATGTGGTTAGTGATTTTTCCTGATTGCAATGGATTTTTCCTGAATGCTACTGATTTTGTCTTGATTAGAGCTGATTGCTGCTTATTAAAAATGGTTTTTTTACAGATCTACACTGATTACTGTATTTTTTTTGGGTGGAACTGAATAGGGCCTTTGTGCTTAACTGCTAACTATGATGTTCTGACTCCTATATGTGATTAGTTTAAAGGTTCTGACTATTGTATGGCTCTTAATTGCAGAGTGGGAGTTCTACAGCTGTGTCTACTTCTGCATCCACCCCTCCTCCAACGCAGTCTGATGCTGGGCAAAGCTCCGTAGCAGTATCTCCCCAGCCAATTCCTCTATTCCGTCATCCTTATCCTCCTAACTATATACCTTATAGCCATTACTTCTCTCCATTTTATGTACCTCCTACAATGCATCAGTATTATGGTCATACTGCATTCCCCCAACCACTTCCTACTGGCAATATGTATCTACCCCCTCCTACTGCTGCAGCAGGAATGAAACTTTCTCCTCATTTTAAGCCAGGTACCAATACAGGAAACCAAGTGCCTGTAGGGGTGCCATCTGGCTATGGGGCTTACAGTACTGCTCAGGTTGCCTACAGTCAAAATGCTGCTGCTGCTGTGACTTCGGGAAATTCCAGTAATGGTGAAGATCTTGGTACACCTGCCCTAAAAGAGAATAATATATTCCCTGGACAGCAGGTTGGTTTATGCTCTGTTTAGCTTCGTATTTGTTCATTAATGCATATTTTTGTTTTAGTTTTGAAATTGAGTATATATGGTAAATATGACAATATTCTTACTATTGTTGGTCTTTGGGGAAATCTAAAAGCTCGGTTTTCAGTAAAATCTCAAATAGCCCTTGTTTCTTTCGTATTTCCTTTAGTCATGTAATTTAGTTTGATAATTTGGTTATGGTGCTGCTGTATTGAAACATGTGCCAATATTCCTATGCGCCAATTCTGATACCTGTATGGCTGGCTCCTTGTGCTAGTATTTTATTCTGGTATATATATGTTATTCCTCTCAACATAAAATCTGAGATCATCCTCTCTTCACTATTTTTTTTTTTTTCCATATATTTGTGCGATCCAATCCATGTTATTTTAAATCAATTAGAACTTAGGCTCACTGTCCTGAACACTTCTTATGCTGATTCTTGATGTTTGAGTCAAAACTTGATTGATTACTAAGCTATTTCCTGCATAAATAAATCAGAACTCGTTGCATTTTTCAACGTAGGCTCACTGTCTTGAACACTTCTTATACTGATTCTTGATGTTTGAGTCAAAACTTGAATGGTTACTAAGCTATTTTCTGAACAGAGTGAAGGTTCAGCTGCCTGGCTTCATCCAGCAGCAGGTCGAGATACACCAAGCTTCTCGTTGAACCCTTTCTTAAATCTTCCTCAACAAGGACAGCACATACTCAATCCTCAATCTGGACACGGTGGCTTTGCTCTCTATCATGCTCTGCAACCCATGGGAAGTCCAGCACCGGGTCTTCCCCTGTTGCAGCAGTCTCAACCTGTGGTAGGATCAGTGGAATCAGTTGGCCCACCTTCAAATTCCTATCAACAGCCGCAACGACAACAGCAGGTTAACTGGAACATGTAGTTTCACAGCAATATTTGGTACATGACTAGAATGGTCTTTTTGAAGCCTTGTGGAGGGGAGGAGATAGTATAAATCGGCCTGCTCATAGTGTAAATATAGAACAATTTGTGGCCATGAATTTGAAAAACTGAAAGGAAAAAAAAAGAAAAGAAAAGAAAAGTGAGTAGATTTCTGTTTTGATCCCCATTGATATGCAACGCTTTCGGAATAGGTTACTAGGAGTTGTTAATGGCTTCCAATTTTAACATTTTCATTCTTTTTGTATTGGAGGCTGATAGGAATTTGGAGAAGTATGAGCAAATGAAATCCTTTTTTGTTATCAGAAAATCATTTCTCCTGTATATTGGATTTTGGTGAAACATGGTGGATTATAGAGTTTGTAATTGGTAGGAAAAAAAAAAAAATCAGTGTTAACTTATTCTATTAGTCATCCAATTGTATCTCTTTTTGTTATTCTTCCTCCAATCCTCCCCTCTCCCCATTCTTTTTACTTCTATTTAATTACAGAGTATATCATACTGTATACAATTGAAAAATGGATTAGCCTGTAAACCCGTGTGATGCACAAGTTATGTATTACTACAAATTACTCCGTATGATAATACTTCAAAATTGTGAGTTATATTACATGGTTTCTAGATACACAACCCTTATACCACCCGGAAAATTCACCTCATCTCTCACTTTTCTTACACTCCGTCGTTTACTCTAATTGCAAATGAAATAAATTGCGTGAAATCCCATACTCATCTTGTTTAATTCATTCAAAACCTTTAATACTTCTTACTTGTATTTTGTTTAATGCTAACATAGGAAATATATTCGATGCTTATACGTAGACTTTAGGTGGCATAAATAATACGAGTATCATTATTAGCCTTATTTTTCCCTCTAATTAACTTGTCCTGTATATGAATATGTATGCAGGTAAAATATGATCCGTGATGCCCTCAACAAAATGCAGACCAAGTCACTGTGGTTTTGTTAACCTAGTATCCTGGTAAAATTTGGCATTTTCTTCCATATTTTCTGGGGTAAATAATAATAAAATAAAAAATAAAATAAAAAAAAAGCTACTCGTATTATCAACCTTTTACTTCAATCTCACATTCACCCAAAGCAATTTCCATTTTAATTAACTATAATTTTCTTCTCTATTTTTTTGTTTTAAGTGGCTCATTAATCATAAATTAGTACACTCATGAATTGATCAAATTTTCTTATATTTTTGCTCATAAAATTATATGCACTAATTAACTTATTACTAAATAAACATTACAAATTAAGAGTTTGTTAAAATAATCTTTTCAGTTTTTTGATCTTTCACTAAGAAATTTTACAAGCATTTCTTTCTTCTAAATTAGCAATGCTGTTTAAGTTAATGATTTTGATACATCAACAAATTTCTTAAAATCAATAAATTTGATTCTATACTTTTATCTTTAGAGGACATTCCAATCAAGGAAACATCTTTAATTCTTTTTTCATCCTTTTATTTAAATATCTATTTACCAATAAAACCTCATTCTATATTGTGGGCATAATTTATTTTAATTATTATTAACATTATTACTGTTATATTGTCGGAGAGTTTTTCATGTCTGGAAAATCAAGGCAAATAGTAGTAGTCCTACATGGGACTGTGGAGGGATGCTACAAGGTTTCTTAAAAGAAAAGAAAGTGATGCAGGAGAATCAGGTTTATTTTCTTCTTCTCTTCAATTTTCCCTTTTTAATGCAGCGATAATAGATTTTAATGCCAACGAGTTGTTGCTCCCGGGTGCACAATATGATTACAACAATGGACTCGATCTTTTACGTGGTAACATATGTCCTTAAAAAGTTTTATCTCATAAAACAATGACACTTTAAAAATGGTTTATATGTAATGTTCAAATCTCCATAAATCAACACAATCAAAATAGAACATACTTTTTCTAGAAAAAAATGGGCATAATTTTAAAACATCTACCATAGATTATACTTTGAGTATTTGAGTGTGACTAAATCATGTCCCTTTGTATATAAGCAATCTACACTATTAGTTACGTGTGTCACATTCAATCTTTGCATTATTTAATGTTTGTTATATAGTTAAGATCATAAGTGGTCCATATAATTGATTCAAAACTTGCTGGTTATTTTTCTTAGCATCTAAGTGAATTGAATTTCAGTTTTATTCCACTCTATTAACGAAGTTGACAAACTTTCTCCTTTACCTGTATTTGTTGCATTCATTTTTTTTTTTGTTTTACCAGGTAGAGCTCTGGAGGAACTAAGAGGTTCTCTGTACAATGATCTACGTACGTCTTCAGAAACCGCCAAGCGGCAACAGCAGCGGTTCTGTGGTCCTGCCGTGGCCATGTCTTTCAATTTCATGGTTGCCGTTGGGATTATACTCACCAACAAATTGGTACATTTTTTTTGATCTTATTGTTACTTTTATAAAAATCTGATTAGATAGGATTTATTAAGTTTAACGGATGTCTGTGTCATCCTTTTCTATTTTTACTACTTTGTTACGTATGTTAGTTTGTGTGTTGCACATTTGTACTCGATCTATCTGTAGAGGTGACAAATGAGTTGTTCGCTTTGATTCTTATGCATAAGTAGCTTTGTTGTAACTTAAGCGAACACGGTTTATTTGTTTGGCTTTGTTGGTTACAGGTGATGGGAAAAGTGGGATTCAATTACCCAATATTCCTAACACTAATCCACTACACAGTAGCATGGATTATGATGGCCTTGTTCAAAGCATTATCTTGGCTCCCAGCCTCACCGCCTTCGAAATCAACACCTTTTTCTTCTCTGTTTTCTCTGGGAATTGTCATGGCTCTTTCCAATGGCCTTGCCAACACTAGCCTCCAGCATAACAGGTTCATCAGATCACCTCCAGCCTCTTCCAAACCCGAAGATGTAAACATAACTTAATCAGGAGTATGCTGTATTGTTTATGTTGTTTTTCATTTTGCAGTGTTGGATTTTATCAGATGGCAAAGATTGCTGTAACTCCAACAATTGTTCTCATAGAATTTGTCTTTTTCCGGAAGACCATATCTTATAACAAGGTCTGCTTTCTGTAATGTTATATACTTATATACTAAGGTGTGTTTTAGAGCTAATTTAAGTGTTATACTTCTTCTTTTCAGGTCATGGCTTTGGCTATAGTTTCATTAGGTATATCTGTTGCAACAGTGACAGATCTTGAGTTCAATGTATTTGGTGCTTGTGTCGCGGTTGCTTGGATACTTCCCAGTGCAGTGAACAAGATTCTGTGGTCTAATCTGCAACAGCAGAGCAACTGGACTGCTCTAGCGTAAGAAACTTCATTTATCGATTCAGAGTTGCTTCTTCGAAATTAGTCTTGTAAGTTTTTTTTTAACTAGGACACTTAATAAAAACAGTCTAACCAATGCAGATTGATGTGGAAGACAACTCCTGTCACAATATTCTTCTTAGTAGCTTTGATGCCATGGCTTGATCCTCCTGGAGTTTTGTCCTTCGATTGGAATGTCAGTAACTCATCAGCAGTTGTGTTGTCTGCTGTTCTTGGCTTTCTGCTACAATGGTCTGGAGCTTTAGCACTCGGGTACACATTTAGCACTTCATTCTATGATTTATTTTATCTCAAGTACCCGTGTCTAATCTGATACTCTACATTGTCACATTGGTATAGACGTACTCTTCACTTTGCACTCCAAACATGCCAAAACATTACTATAAATTGGCTAAAGTTACATTCATGTAACAAAGGTCTTAAGAAAAAGTAACAAAATACTGGCTAAGAATTTGAACAGAATCTTACTAGTTTTATGGAAATGCAGGGCAACATCAGCAACATCTCATGTAGTTTTGGGACAATTCAAGACCTGTGTCATCCTACTAGGAGGCTATCTATTGTTCAATTCAGATCCAGGACCTACGAGTCTTTGTGGAGCAGTGGCAGCGTTGGGTGGCATGTCAGTTTATACATCACTTAGCCTTAATGAATCCGTTGAAAGTGTTGTGAAGCAGATTCCGAGCTTGAATCAACTTGCAAAACCTAAATCAGACATTGAAGAAGATGAGGAGAAAGCAAGTGTGATAAGCGTCTCAAGTACCGAGTGATTAAGTAGTAGTGACAGTTTACAAAGAATGTAATGTAGGTGAGTGTCTAAGGGGCAAAGGAGGAGAAAGTAAGAGAGTGGCTTATTTTAGCTTTGATAATGCATGTTGTACAGAAGAAATGAATATAGGATTATTATGAGTTCAAACAGTAGTCAACTTTTTCATTTCTACTGATCATGCTTTAACAATACAAAACATGGGTTAATAACAAGAATACTTGCAGTCCATTTTCTGGCAGCAGCTTTCAAGATTGAACAACCTACCTTTGGTTTTTTTTTTTTTTTTTTTTTTTTTTTTTTTTTTTTTTTTTTTTTTTGGTAAAAAGGGAACATAGATTAATTATTTAAATGGTTTTGAACAAGGCAACTAGAGCAATTATAAGTTATATTAAAGTAATCCAAAGTAGTAGTTAAATTCAAAAAGCGATTACGAGCAAAGTTAATATCTTCCAAAATAAAGCTTAAGCAGCATGCATGGAGGAGTGTTGTTGTGTACAACCATATTATCAGTTGGTCTGTTCTTCTGCCTTGCTTGCTTCTTTTGCCGGGGCATCTGTCGCCTTGTTCTTCCTCTTTCTTCAAACTCCAAATCCGTCAGAAGTACTTACTTTGGCTTAGGAGTTGCCTGCATTTTTCCACAGTAAAGGTTAGCCTATTAATTTCCTCTTAGATTGGGTTTAATAGAGCAAAACAGGGAGCTAAACTAAACTTAACATTACGCAACACTCTAATTAGAATATGGGGTGTTACAATAATAACATAACTTACACTATCCAACTCTGTTGCCTTTTTTTTTATTCACCTGCAAATATTTTAGACATGTTTCGGTTAGAGGTTAAAACATGTAAATTAGATAAAATATATAAGAATTTATATTAAAAAAAATTAAATTAAATAAATATACTTGACAATGAAAAAAAAAATGTTGGTTTCTTCGATTTTTTGAGATGGGTTTTTGATCCAATTTCCCAAATTTGTAATGAACTGGGTTGAAATCCTTGTAGAGAATATACGATACATCTTGAAGAAAATGATTTCCTTCTACCGATGCACATGAGAATACAAGCGACATCTTCATTTTTAATGTTCGAAACAATTATTAAATTCAAATCAATAATTCTAAAACACAAACATCATAATAATCATAAAACAAAAATAGAATGAATAAAAAAAATTATCAGTTGATTTGATAGCTTTCTGAAGCCTTTTCAAACGGGCTAATTCCAGAGTTTTTTGGTAATACGTCAAAACTGACATGCCCGTTTGTTTTCCGTGCTTATAGTAATTTGATTTTCACTCCGCACCAGCATCATTATAATCACGAAAATTAAGCCACTTTGAAATCAAAGTGTCTCTAATAGGCTCCAACTAAGCAAAAAAAAAAAAAAAAAAAACTAAATTATCCAATGCGCGAAAATTAGATCATTTGAATATCAAAAAAGATTCTTCAAAGTTTAATGTAATATGTTAATTACGTAATTATTTCATGTAATTTGTTACACCTAAATGGTTTCGTGTAATTGATTTATTTAAAAAATTATTACTTATCTGTTTCAAAATGATATTCTCACTGTTCATTTTGTTATTTAATTACTTAAATTGTTTTGAACAAGGCAACTAGAGCAATTAGAAGTTATAATACAATCATCCAAAATAATAGTTAAGTTCAAAAGACGATCACGAGCAAAGTTAATATCTTCCAAAATAAAGTTTAAGCAGCATGGAGGAGTGTTGTTGTGTACAACCATGGTATCAGTTGGTCTGTTCTTCTGCTGTTAAGCCTTATATTAGTGTATAGTTATTGGGCCAATGTATTGAGCCCTAATCTCTTTAAGGTTGTATATATATACTTGTTCATACTCTAATACAAAAACACACTACACTATTCTCTCTATTTTTGACATGGTATCGGAGGCTTAATATTCCAAAACCCTAAAATTCTAAAAATTCTGAATTTTTTTCTTTCCACCGCACTGCTTGATTCACTACAATGGGCAACGATGGAAAACTCGATCTCTCATCCCCTTTTACCTTGGCGCCGGTGATCAACCGGGGAATTTGATCACTCACGTGGTCTTGAAAGGAGATAACTACCTTGCTTGGTCTAGGGCAATTACCTTATCCTTGAAATCTAGGCGAAAATATGGTTTCATTGATGGAACTATCTCAAAACCCTCTGAGAAGAAGAAATTACTTGATTGGGATACGGTGAATTCCATAATAGTTTCATGGATTTTACGAGCTATTGACCCTAAGGTTGCAGCATCCATACCTTACTTTGAGGAAGCCAAGGAACTTTAGGATTATTTGGAGAAGCGGTTTTACGAGGCTAGTGGTCCTCGTCTCCAACAATTGCGGACTGCTATTACCAATTGCAAATAATCGAAGGCTATGACTGTTGAAGACTATTATACTACTTTGATGGGGTATTTTGATGATCTTCTTCGTCTCAAGCCCCCTCATGGATGTGAATGTGGCCATTGCACGTGTAACGTTGCTGCGAAGTATGAATTGAATAGAGAAGAGGAGAAATGCATCAATACTTGATCGGCATTGATGTTGACATGTACGCTGTGGTGCGCACGAACCTTCTCTCGCAACAGCCCTCGACTACTCTTGACCATGCGTACCAAGCATTCCTTCAAGAGGAGCGTTCTCGTGGCATTGCTCAAGGGCATGCTCAATCAGAGAAGGCAGAGGCTCATGTTTTTGCTTTATCCTTAGATCGACGGCCTTCTCAATCTAACACTCGCGTTGATATTGCTCCCATCGCAAACGCTCGGGACACGACAATTCAGGTTGTTTTATACTCCATGGTTACCCCCCTTGGTGGCTCGAGAAGTATGGTAAAAAAGGGGGGGCATCGTCCTCGGGGCAGCAAGGTACTTCAGCTGTGCCCAGCAGGTTTGCTGCTGCTTCTTGTTCGCCTGCTGTTGCTGCTACGACTGTGTCTGATCACAGCAAGCCCACGGCTCGTGCCAATGCCGTGGGCACCTTTCTTGCTGTTGCTACATCTCTGCCCTCGCAGGAAACCCTCCAGGCTTTGTCGGAGCTTCAACCCGAGCATGTTCGTCTTCTTTTGACTATGGTTAATAATTGTCAACAAGACAAGATGACGGGTGAGTATTTTTCTTTGTCATGGATCATCGACACCGGCGCTTCTCATCATGTTACTGCTGATGAATCATGTTTAATGGATGTGCAATTCATTTCTCCTTGCCCTGTCGGTCTTCCGGATGGTGATCAGGCCATGGCTACGAAGGAAGGGCGAGTGTATTTAGCTGACGGAATAATTCTTGAGAACGTTTTATTCGTTCCCGAATAAAATTGCAATTTAATTTCCGTGTCTAAAATGATCGATGATTCACATTGTACTGTACAATTCACTGACTCTTTATGTGCTATACAGGACCAACACTTGGGGAGCCTGATTGGAGGCAGTGAACGGATAGATGGACTACTATTTCCGGTGAATTCCTAATAAAGTATGTGCGGTGACAAATTCGAAGGTCTCTGTATTCGAGTTATGGCATCGACGTATGGGTCATCCGTTGGATAAAATTTTCAAGTTAGTGCCGGATATTAGTACTAGTTCTGGTAGCAAATCTTTGAATAAAGCATGTGAAATTTGTCCACAAGCTAAACAATCACGGGATAGTTTTCCTAATAGTGATAGTAGGGCTAGTCGTATTTTTGAAATGATACATTGTGATTTATGGGGGTCGTATAAGACGCCTTCTACTTGTGGTGCTCATTATTTTTTGACTATTGTTGATGATTTTTCGAGAGGTGTTTGGGTTTGTTTATTGAATGACAAAACTGAAGTTTAATCTTCCTTTTGTTCTTTCTTTGCTATGGTTAAATGTCAATTTGATGCTCATGTAAAATGTGTACGGAGTGATAATGGTACGGAGTTCAAACATATGCTTCCGTATTTTAATAAAAATGACATTATTTTCCAAACCTCTTGTGTTGGCACACCACAACAAAATGGTCGGGTAGAGCGTAAGCTTCAACATATTTTAAATGTGAGTCGGGCATTGATGTTTCAAGGCAATTTGCCGATTGATTTTTGGGGTGAATGTGTCCTTGGAGCGGTTTATTTGATTAATCGCACTCCGTCTCATTTACTAGCCAATAAAACTCCATATGAAATTCTCTTTGGCAAAGAACCTAATTTTGATGAGTTGCGTGTTTTTGGGTGTCTTTGTTTTGCTCATAACCAAAAAGCAAAGGGCGACAAATTTGCTTCTAGGAGTAGGAAGTGTGTGTTTGTGGGTTATCCTCATGGCAAGAAGGGTTGGAAGTTGTATGATTTAGAAACCGGTGATATATTTAATTTGTCTCACGTGATGTTAAATTCTTTGAAAATGAATTCCATATGTGCATAAGAGTGATTCAATTTTTGCTAATGTGAGTACCGAAGGCATGGCAAACGACAATGTTGGGGATGAGGAAGGGGATGAGGAAATGAAGAAAACCATTGCTAAAGCTTGGACTGATGCAAGATCCGGGAAGACTGTCGATTCTCTGAAGGGATACCATTGATGATCTGTAGGCTATCAGAAAGTGCATATGCATCAGTTAGGGGATTCTGATCCATTTTTATGATGAAAATAAAATCGAGTTATAGAATACTGTATTTATTAAAAGTTATGATTAATTTTGTATATATGAAATATTAGAATTATAGTGATAATAAAACTCCATACAACATTTTTATTTTAAAAAATATATCCAAAAATCGCTTACTTAGCATCATATGTGTCACAATGATACCTATTTGTCGCCTACATGGTGCAACACTTGGTGAAAAATTGGAATGTCAAGTGTCACTCTCCGTGGTCTGACTGCGAGGCCGACTTTATTTATTAAAATGATATAATATTAGATTTTTTAGTCGCTTTTTTTTTTTTAAATTTTTTTTTGACAAGGATAGAAGGCGAAAGTAGATTGGTGGACCGAACTACTTCCCAAATTTCCCATGTTTTTTTTGTTTCAATCAGATTGTCATGATTTAGGAGTAGCTCCAGTGGATTTGGCTTCTCCTCGCCCATCATTAAACTAATACCTTGTCGTATTGTATCATTATAATGTTAAGTATTGTAAGATTTGTTACCATCGTCCAAAGGTATATATAGCAATGGCACTAGGTGAGGCAACCCGAGGTATTGCATGGCTCATGGCTCAGCGCATAGGCGCTAAACTTCATTGCGTGATAGGGTTCT